GTTGTTTAGTCTGGAGAAGAGGAGGCTCAGGGGAGACCTCATCGCTCTCTGCAACTATCTGAAAGGAGGTTGTAGCCAGGGGGAGGTTGGTCTCTTTTCCCAGGCAGCTATCAGTAAGACAAGAGGGCATGGTCTCAAGCTCTGCCAGGGGAGGTTTAGGCTAGATGTCAGGAAGAAATTCTTTATAGAGAGGGTAATCAGGCATTGGAATGGGCTGACCAGGGAAGTGGTGGATTCTCCGGCCCTGGAGGTATTTAAGAAGAGACTGGATGTGGCCCTTAGTGCCATGATCTAGTAACTGTGGTGGTAGTGGATCAAGGGTTGGGCTTGATGATCTCAGAGGTCTCTTCCAGCCCATCTGATTCTATGATTCTGTGAAAGTTCAAGAGGATGAAATAGAAACTCAGTCATCAAAAGTTTATGTGTATATATACATGTATTTCTATGATCTGCGTATTTATTCATAAATACCTATGTGTATTTATTTTTGTATATAGAGTGTATGTGCACTTTATTAATCAGAATTCTTGGCAAAAAATGTTCAGATTTTTTAAATGTGACTAGTTGTTTGAAGATGTTCTGTCATATTGCATGGTTTAGCAAGGCATATGCAAGTCACTTTAAAAAAGTATAAGCACTTACTTCTCCTTCTTGTGTTCTGGAACTTCTTTGCCGTTTCATGATTTACAAAAAACCAGAATTCACAGAATTCCTTCTCAGTTAAAAATAATTATCTGAAGTAGACATGGTCTAGTATCTCTTCAGTTGTTGGTGATAGAAACATGACACTAAATGGAGAAATTTATCTAACGTTTATGTGGGTTTTTTTCTTAATACTTTTAATATTTCCGAGTACTTACTACCAGACCAACTAGGATTTTGGTTTTCAATAGTTTAAAAATTAGCTGATGATTTTTGCATAAGTTTACAGATTAGTCGTGAGAGTGCTGCCAATAACTATAACTGGCTAGATTAATAATCCGAAGAATAAAGCCAAAATCACAATAATATGTTTCTATTCACAGCAAATGGCAATTCATTGGGCCTTTTTATTACGTATACATGTGCAGTTGGTAGAAAACTGAGACCTTAATCCTTGTGGGGGCTCGGGAAGAACTGATATGAATCGGGTCTGACCAACTTGCCTGAGGTCCGAAGGTGGCTGTTTGTGTGTGGTTTTATGTTGCACAGTTTCAGAATTAAAATGCTGATTTTGGTTTTTGATTGAAAAACTATCCAACAGATCAAAAAAAAAAAAAAAAAAGATCTTACTTGCAGATGATGTTGGTGGGTTGACCTTTGTCTAGTCACCAGATGCCCATCCAAGCCACTCTCACTCCCCCTCCTCAACTGGACAGGAGAGAGAAAATATGATCAAGGGCTCATGGGTTAAGGGAGATCACTTAGCACATACTGTCACAGGCAAAACAGATGCGACTTGAGGAATAAATTTAACATATTGCCAATTATTAAAAAATATTGTATGGTAGAATCGTAAAATACCAGGTTGGAAGGAACCTCAAGGATCATTGGTACAACCTTTATTGGCAAAAGCAGAGTCTACACAAGGTGGCACAGCGCTCTGTCTAGACAAATCTTAAAAATGTCCAATGTTCAGGAATTCACTGCTTCCCTGGGGAGAGTATTTCAATGGCTGATTATTTTCACTGTGAAAAATTTTTCTATCCAATTGGAATCTTCTCCAAGAGTAACTTGTACCCATTACCCCACATCTTTTCCATGTGACTCCTTGTAAAAAGGGAGTCTCCATCTTCTTCCTAACCACCCTTTAAGCACTGGGACATGGTGATAAGGTCTTCCCTAAACCTTCTTTTCTCAAGGCCAAAAAATCCCAGTTCTCTCAGCCTTTCCTCACATGGAAGGCATACCAGACCTTTGATCGTCTTTTGGCTCTTCTCTGGACATTCTCCAGTTTGTCCATCTGTTTTGTGTAGTGGGGACCAAAACTGAACACAGGATTGCAGGAGTGGTCTGACCAGCACTATGTAGAGTGGGATAATAACTTCTTTAACTCTTGTTGATGCAACTCAGTATCCTGTTGGCTTTCTTTGCTATAGCAGCACCTTTTCACCCATATTGAGCCTATTGTCCACCAGGATCGCCTGGTCTCTTTCCACAGAGCTGCTCCCCTTCTGGGTAAATCCCAGACTGTGCTGCACTCCTGCGTTATGTTTTTCCATTTGCAAGACCTTACATTTGTCTTTGTTGAACTTTCTAAGGTTCTTGCTAGCCCACTCTTTCAGCCTATTTAGATATTTCTGCAGGGTGGCTGTCTCTTCTGAAGCAAACACTTTCCACTCAGTTTTGGTATCATCAGCAAACTTCATCAAGGTACACTTGTTCCCATCATTCAAATCACTTATGAAGATACTAAACAGTGTTGGCCCAGTCTTGTTCTCTGGGAAACCCAGGGATAGGATAGTGAGAAATAAGAACAAATTTTAAAAAAACCTTCCCACCACCCCTCCCTTCTTCTTTGGCTCAGCTTTGCTCCCAGTTTTCTTAACCTCCTCCCCCCAAGTGGTGCAGGACAGGGAATGGGGATTGCAGTCAGTTCATCACATGTTGTCTCTGCCACTTCTTCTTCCTCAACTGGGGGGCTCCTCACACTCTTCCCCTGCATCATTGTGGGGTCCCTGCCATGGGAAACAGTCCTCTGTGAACTTCTTCAATGTGAATCCTTCCCACAGGCTCCAGTTCTTCATGAACTGATCCAGTGAATGCCCCTTCCATGGGGTGCAGTCCTTCAGGAACAGACTGCTCCAGCCCAGGTATCCCACAGGGTCACAAGTTCTACCAGAAAACCTGCTCCTTCGGTATGGGCTCCCCTCCATAGGTTCACGGGATCCTGTTCCAGCACAGGCTGTCCATGGGGTCACAAACTCTTGCACCTCTGGCTGTTCCAGCATGGGGTCTTCCATGGGCTGCAGTGTGCGCCTCCATGGGCTGCAGAGGAACAACTTGCTTCACCAATCCTCACACAGTTGAACATTATACACAAAGGGAACTGATTATGCCTGGCTGGTGGTGATGGAATAAAATGTCATTTTATTTAATGATTATATTGTGAAGGGTCTGTTCCATAGGACCATGTTCACAATTTTAGGACCAGTGCTACTTCTGACATTCTCACAATCTAGAGGCTGATTTTTCAACTATTTTTAATGATAGTTTTTTTGTAGGTAATATATAAAGTTAAATCACAAGACAATGGAAATGGTACTAAAAATGCTAATTACTTCAAATCTCAAAATATAATCATATATTGCATTTTTGTTGCAGTGGATGGCTAAATAAATGTGTAGAAACTCATTGTAAGGAGGACATTGATTAACGCATTCATGCATTCTGTTTCTGGATTCATAAGGAATTCAGACACAACTAGGATGAAAACTGCCAGAATATGATAAGGAGGTAATCTAAGGTCTTAAAGCCTGAGAGGACTGAGAAATGACATTGAGGGAAATGTTATTTTTAATGGTTTACTACATAAATAAAATGATAAACATTGCATTTAATTGAAATTGCTGGCAAAGAGAAGCAATTTTGATTGAAAAGAATAAAAAATTACAAAATGCCTGTTTACTAACTTATTTAAAACCTGCTTAATAAATTCTTTATTTCTGTTTTGACTTATTTCAGTGATATATATACATTGTTGTAATATGAATGTGTATTCTATGACTTGTGGCTCTAATTATTCACAGCGAGTTAATTTATTCCATTAATATCTCATTCACTAAGACGAATGGTAAAACCTCGAGAGTGTTGATTTGGATAAATATCTAGCAGCACAGATGTTCACATAAATATTTTTGAGCTTCGTATTTTAAAAATCTTATGAAATCAACATTTCTTTGATCCTTCAAATGGATCTAATCTGTTTTTTTATTTCTCATTCAATCAACTGACCTGTTTTTGTACGCTTTTTACTTTCTTTTAGGGAAAATAAAGGCAGCTTTTAAATGCAAAACTGACCATTTTATCTGGTTTATAAGTTTGTTAGGAGTTTGTTTATTTGTTTTGGATAGTTTTTGCTTTGTGTTTTCTTCCTCCTCCTGAGCAAAAAGCCTATTAAAACAACATTTTTAATGGGCATATTTCAGGATGAACTCTTACATAAACAGAATGAGACTGCTTTAATTTCATTTTTAAGTCACGGAGAAAAGTTAATACTTTCCAGTCTGAAGGCAATGTGACAGCTGAATATGAGTATAAATATCTGTAAAAGAAATTTAAGGATGTAAAAAATCTTAAATGGTTCCTTATTAAATGCCATAAAGATTTTTATTCTAAGGGAGGATTAATAGTAACTTCTTTAAGAAGTTTGCTTGCTTGTATGCTAGAAGAACTTAAACTAGAAATACAATAGGTTATGGTAATATCCATATCTCTTAAAGGGCAAAATTAATTTCTGTTTTTCTTTTTTTTAAATAAGGATGTATGTATAATGGCATCAATTATTAATTTAATTTACTAAGTATAGTAAAAAAGCAATAATTTCATTTGTTAAATATGTGTTTTAGAAAGATGAGATTTTCCTTCTATTTATATGAAAGAGTGTACTGGTTACAACCTATATGAAGAAAATTACCTTTACCTCAGCCAAAACCAGAAAAAACCAAATTTTCCTGAATGAGCTCATAAAGGACAGTAAAACAACATTCAGAAACAGAGTGTAAGATACATGCATTATTATTTTTTACTATTTTACATTACTATTTTTAAAAGTTTCTTGCTGATAAGTTTGAAATGCAAATACAGTTTGAAATAGAAATCAAAGCTTTACTTTAAATCAACAAATCCCACCAAATTCTTTATAAATGCATGGTAAAAATAATATTGATGTGCTTAATGCTAGATGAATACATCCATTCTGTGTCCATAGAAATTGATTTTCATATAATCTTCATGTACTAAAATATATAAAAAAACAGATCTCTCATTTACTTACTTATACTTACATCTTTCTTTTCCAGATGACACGAGAGCAGTATATATTAGCAACACAACAGAACAGCCTTCCAAGGACTGAGCAACCTCAGTTTTACCCAGTAGGGATTTATGGATGGCGAAAGAGGTGCTTATACTTCTTTGTCCTACTGCTGTTGGTTACCATGATTGTTAATTTAGCAATGACAATATGGATTTTGAAGGTTATGAATTTCACAGTGGTAAGTATTAAGTAACTTTACGTACCCCATTTCTTGACGTACAAACTGCTAGTTTTATTTCATTTTTCCTTTACCATGTTATAGAGAAATCTTGTAATTTTGGGTGAAAATTCATATATACTTTGAGTGTTACTTCAGATATTTATACCTTTTATGTATATTCTGCACTGAGTGGACTGGTGCCCTATAGTCAGATACTTTTGGTTAATCATATCTTCTGAAGATATATCTAGGTCTTAGATTGTTTTTTGTTTGCCCAAGTAAAAATGTCGTGATGACTGCCCCAAACATCTTTTGGTTGCTTGTCACCACTGAATAATAATCAGTAGGAGTTTACTATATCTGTTCTGTGCTGTATCTCACTTAGGAGGTTTTTCAGGTCAACATATGGTGTCTTTTTTAGCTTTTGTTGTTCTTAGTAATTTTTTTTAGAGTTTAGTGACAATTTCAACTGTGTTTCACCTAGAACTTAGAGTAGCTGTTTTGGTGTTGAGAGGGAGGTAAATGGACCTAAAAGTCACATGCTTTTCTGAGACAGTCTCTGTCTGGAATCTTTAGTATCATCAAAGTATTATCAAATCTGTATTTGAGATGTGCCCTTGAAAGAACATCTGCGTTTAGTGGAAACTGGAAGAAGTGCATACTAGTTGGCAGCAGAGTGGTGTATTTTTGTGTATCAAAATAGAAGAACTCTCAATAGTTTAAAATAGTAGTGCTTCTGCTAGGGTCAGAGCAATCTTTCTCTCTGGATTTTGACCTTTATAAACCATATTTTGATGTAGCTGGTTATAAATTCCAATGGTCACAGAACTTTTCTGTTCTCCATTCGTTTATTGGAAATAAAAAAAAAAAAACCACCAAAAAACCAGCATAGAATATATGTCTAAAATTGTTCTAAATCTCTTAATGCTCTGTAATGGATTGAGTTATCTGGGACTGTTGTCTGGTGAGATGTATTGTGCAAATACATTGATACTTCAGAGTTTTCCCTAGTGGATGAATATGTTAGATTAACATTTTGACAACTGTATGACTTTAATATTCATGAGCTGAAGAATTGGTGAGAAGATTTGAGGGGTTGCATTTTTTGGAGGCGGAAGCTGGATTTGGTTTGTTGGTTCTGTTTGGGATTTTTTTTTTTTAGCGTAATGCACTTTCAAAATAGGACATCCAAATATGTTTTTGCTTATTCATAATTGTTCATTTGTACTAGAAATATATTTAGGCATAACTGCTGATTTCAGTAAAATGGTCTGCCACTATGCCAGAGGAGAATTGAGAATGGAAATTTAAATAGGATAAGAAAATGTTTTACAAAGCACAGAATTTTTCTCTGTGCAGAAGATTGCATTCCAATAGAATATTTGAAAGTACTGTTTGCACATCTAGGAAATGTTTGACCTTCCACACTAGAAGATATTATAGCACTGTTCAGCTTAAAGCTCTTAGAATTTGATCATGAATTTTTTAAAAAACAATATAAAAAAAAAGGAATTTTGAAATAGTTTTCTTTCGTGTATGTCAATGCTTTGTTAGAAAGTTAAAAGTTTATGGTGAATCACTAAATCAGTGCAAGAATCTAGTGCAGAAAACAAATTGTTTCATCTTTTATAGACACTGCTACCTGATCCTGTTTGAATAGATTTTGTTATTTATACACAGAAGAATATGAGTTTTCTTCTGCAGATTCATGGAATGGTAGTCTTCTAATTGGACTAGTAGAAGACTAGAATGGTAGTCTTCTTGGACTTGCACATTGGAATATACATTCAAAAATTGACTGCTAGAAGACTGTCATGTTAAAATTCGGTAACATCTTCATGCTTATGTCCTCACATGCACATTTCAGCATGAGTGGGAAATTTGTGTAAAGTCTGAAGGAGTCACATTCTTAGCAGTGGATATTTGAGAGTAAAATAATTTAGTTTGTGAACGTAAAGTTATGTATTGCAATAGTAATACACAGTATGCAATACATGCTGCAAAACATGCAATAGCTTTGAAATATATATATTTTTTTCCCATGTACATGCATATATACAGATAGATACAAAATAATAAATTTTATTTGTATAACTGGGCAGTGATAGGAAATCAGAAGTGCAACTAGGAGCCTAAAGAATATTTGCCCAAGAGGAGAATCTAGCCATGATAAAATAATTACTGAAATTGGACTGCTTTGACATTTTGACATTATTTTAAATTATTTCCCATTTTGGCATATGCCAGTGTTGAGCTTTTAATAGAAACAATAGTAATTGCACCACTTCAAGGGGTTATGAAGAGCCAGGTCATAGTGTGTCATTGCTGGCTGTCAATTGCAACACTGTTAATTTATATTAGCTGTTGACTTTCTATTTTTAACTGTAAAACTGCAACCACTGGCAATTTGGCATAATAAAAGCCTTTCTGAGATCAAGTTTCCAATTGGAAAAGTTTTCTGAATATACTGACCTTGCACATACAAGTCACATTCTGAATCTGAACTAGTTATGCCAGACTCTTTTTATATGCAGAGAGGAGAAATAGGGTCTTCTGTAAGGCCATACATCTCATAGTAAGACAACAACTGAAGTGAACTGTTCTTAAGGACAGATATTGAATAGCTTATTTAAGAAGTAATAATAATAATAAAAAAATAGTTTATTTACAATTGTGTAAAAACATGGTACAGGCAAGCTGAGCAAGTCTCATTTTATCAGATTATGTAGTATCAGCAGGAAATCTAGAGAAACTTTCAGGGATACGATCTCTTCTTCCAGTGTACAATGTAAGAAACTTGAAATGTAAATGCAAGTTAGAAATAATTGCCCTTATATAATATGTATCAGATGAGCAAAACAGAAGGTAATCACAGAATCACAGAATATGCTGAGTTGACAGTGACCCACAAGGATGGAGTCCAACTCCTGACACTGCACAGGACCATCCCCAAGAGTCACAAGACGTGCCTGAGAGTGTCATTCAGACTCTTCTTAACTCTGTGAGGCTCGGTGCTGTGACCACTTCCCTGGGGAGTCTGTTCCAGTGCCCAACCACCCTCTGAGTGAAGAACCTTTTTCTAATATCCAACCTAAAACTCCCCTGACACAACTTCAGGCCATTCCCTCAGGTTCTGTCACTGGCCACCACAGAGGTCAGTGCCTGCCCCTCCTCTTCCCCTCACAAGGAAGTCGTAGACTGCAAGGAGGTCTACCCTCAGTCTCCTCTTCTTCAGACCAAGTGACCTCAGTCACTCCTCCTAGGGCTTCCCCTCAAGGACCTTCACTATCTTCATTGCCCTCCTTTGGATGCTCTCCAATAGCTTCATACTTTTCTTATATTGTGGTGCCAAAAACTGCACACAATATTCAAGATGAGGCCTCCCCAGTGCAGAGCAGAGCGGGACAACCCCCTCCCTGGACTGGCTGGTGATGCTTTGCCTGATGCCCCCAGGACACAGTTGGCCCTCCTGGCTGCCGGGGCACTGCTGACTCATATTCAACTTGCCATGGACCAGGACCCCCAGGTCCCTTTCGCTGGAACTGCTTTCCAGCATCTCTTTCCCCAGTCTGTACATACATCTCGGGTTGCCCCGCCCCAGATGAAGAATATGGTGCTTTCTGTTGTTGAACTTTGTCGAGGTGTCTCTGCAGGGCCTCCCTGCCTTCGAGGGAGTCAACAGCTCCTCTCAGTTTTGTGTTGTCTCCAAACTTGCTTAGTATCACTTGTAGTCCTGCATCCAAGTCATTTATGAAGATGTAGAAGAGCACAAGACCTAAAATGGAGCCCTGTGAAACCCCACTAGTGACAGATCACCAGTCTGATGTTCCCCCATTCACTGTTACCCTTTGTGCTCAACCTGTGAGCCAATTGCTCACCCACCACAAGATGTGTTTATCCAACTGTGTGCTGGACCTGAAGAATCCTGTGAGAGACAATATTGAAAGCTTTACTGAAATCCAAAAAGGTTACATCAACTGGCTTCCCTTGATCACTTAAGTGGGTTACCTTGCCATAGAAGGATATCAGGTTTGATAAGGAGAACTTTCCCCTCACGAAGCCGTGCTGGCTATGACCAATGACTGCATTGTCTTTCTGGTGTTTTACAATACCTCCCAGAATAATCTTCTCCATAACTTTACCAAGCATTGAAGTGACACTGACAGGTCTGTAGTTTCCAAGGTCCTCTTTCTTGCCCATCTTGAAAACTGGGACAACGTTTACCATATTCCAGTCAGCTGGGACCTCTCTGGATTCCCAAGACTGCTCAAAAATCATCAAGAGGGGCTTTGTGATGATTCCCATCAGGCCTCATAGATTTGCAGGGATCCAGCTGGAGCAGCAGATCCTGCACAATTTCAGGGCTGACTGGGAGCTGATCATTCTCACAGTCATGGTCCTCCAGCTCAGAGCGCTGAGACCCCCTTGATCATCAGTGTTGAAGACAGAGGCAAAGGTTAAACACCTGTGCCTTGTCTCTGTTCCTGTTTGTGACGTGGCCATCCTCATCATGTAATGGCCTGATGTTATTGTTACACTGCCTGTTGCCATTAATATATTTCAAAAAACTCTTTCTATTTTTCCCCACATTTCTAGCAGTTTCACTTCCAGTTGAGATTTAGCACAAAGCATGTTAGAAAGAGGAATCAGAGACGTAGTAATAATTTTTTGAAAGATATTCCCTCACTGGTGTTATTGTCCTTTAATGTGTATTCAAGATCTGTTACCTCACTGTTTGATCATCTGTTTAAAAAGGTACAAGTGTGGCCAAGAAGGCCAGTGGCATCTTGGCCTGTATCAAGAGCAGTGTGGCCAGCAGGGCCTGGGATGTTATTGACTCTGTACTTGGCACTAGTGATGTCACACCTCAAGTACTGTGTTCAGTTTTTGGCCCCTGACTTCTATAAGGATATTGAGGTTTCAGGGTGGTACCAGAGATGGGAACGGGTGAAGGGTCTAGAAAACATGTCTTATGAGGAACAACTGAGGGAGCGTGGTTGTTAAGCCTGGAGAAGAAG